CAGCTGCTTTTAAAAAGGTTACATAGTAATGTTATGGTTAGACCTGAAATCTCTAATGGCTGCGTAAGTGACAGCTGATGTACCAGAATTTAATTACTTTCTTCTCTCAGATGGCAGATTTTGAGTATTCACTTACTGTCACATGTTTTTTTTTAAATGGAACTCCTCCAGATTTATGCAGCTTGGCATCTCCCTTTCTTTTTGAATAAAATGAAAAAATAAAGAGCTTTGCTGTAGGAAAAGAAACACCCTCAAAACGAGTGAAACTAGTGGATTCGTTGGGCTTTTCTGTTGTCTTTCCATGCCACCAATGCAGATAAGACTCCTTCAGTCACTGCATGCATTACACGTGTGACATATGCTGTTTGTTTCTGCTCCATTTTGAGTTCAGCAGTTTGTTGTATATATACAATGATGTGAAAAAGTAAGTACACCCTCTTAAGATTCCATGGTTGTACATATTAAGACATCTCTGACCTTCACCTGTCCTCATCAAATCCTCACAGTAGATGAGTCTAACCTTGTGTGACAAATAACATAACACATTTTTCTTGCCAGTATTTATTAAACAAAAAAATCAGCCAACATTCAGAAGCCTTGTTTGAAAAAGTAGTGCACCTTTGATTCAGTAACGTGTGTAATCCTCTTTAACAGCAATGACTTGAGGTAAATGTTTCCTGTAAGAGTTTATCAGTCTCTCACATCTCCTGGGAGGAATTTTGGCCCATTCCTCCTTACATAACTGCTTTAACTTGGTGATGTTTGAGGGCTTTTGTTATACAGATCTCTCGTTAGGTTCTGCCACATTATCTCAATTGGGTTGAGGCCTGGAATCTATCGTGGACATTCAAAAATCCTGATCCTTATCTTCTTCAGGCATTCAGTCGTAGATTTAGTGGTGTGTTTTGCATCATTGTCCTGTTGCATGATCCACTTTTGGCTGCACTTTAGCTATTGGACAGATGTTCTCACGTTTTCCTCTAGAATGTGCTGGAATAGAGAGGAATTCATGGTGCAATCAATGACTGTGAGGTGTTGGGTCCTCCAGCTGACTCAATTCACCACCCCTCCACCATCATGCTTGACAGTTGGTATGAAGGTCTTGTGGTGATACGCATTGTGTGGTCTGCACTGAACATGTCCTTTTGCATTACGGACAGACAACTCCACTTTGGACTCATCTGTCCAGAGAAGTCTTGTGGTTCATTCAACTGTTGTTTTGCAAACCTGAGCCATGAAGCAATGGTCGTTGTGGAGAGAGAGGGTTTCCTCCTGGCTACCGTTCCTCAAAAGCTTTCTACCCTTCCTAATGGTACAATCATGATCTTTAACATTTAGCGTATTAACAGAGGCCTGTAGATCCCTGGATGAAGCTTTGGTGTTCTTTGCAAACTCTAGGAGAATCATATAGTCTGATCTTGGGGCGAATTTGTTGGGACGCCCACTCCTGGGTAGATTGGCAACCATCCTGAACTTTTTCCATTTGTAAATTATCCTTCTCACTGTGGAATTATGGAGTTCATATTGTTTAAAAAAGGTTTATAACCCTTCCCAGATTGATGTGCACCAACGGTTCTCTCTCTGAGAACATCACAGATATCTCTAGACCTAGGTATGATGTATTACCACAAACCTGAATGCTCCAGACCAAACTGACTGTTTCTTCTTTTATTTAATTTGAGATACAATATTGTCCGAACAAAACTCTTTTTATCATATTGTTAAGAATGCCTTCAGTACTCATTACTACTAATTCAGTAGTATTTTTTTCAGTTCTCTTAATGTTCAGAATAAATGAACCCTGTAAGGGCAGACATCTGCCACTTTGTTCCTGGGTCCGAGTAAGACTGCTGGTTTTTGCACACTATATTTTGTGTAGGACTATGCTACTGGAATATACTGTGACCACCAACGTTACTGCACTTGCAATAAAACTGAGTCCGAATCCAGGTTTCCAAAGCAGAGAGGGGGGAAAGAGGCTGGGATTCACTCAATAATAACATTTCCACTTCATATTTACTCTTCTTTTTAGCTTTTGCGCTTGCTGAGAAGAAAATATCATCGCATTTAATGAGACGTACCTATGCGTAAGGAACCAGTGGACTAACACAAGTACTAGTATTGTTGAAGAAACCCAGACTGTTACGGCAGAACCTCATGCCAGAAAAACAGGGAACAGGACTGTGTGAAATACAACCCTTCTGCTTGGCTTTAAAGCAAGGGGGGAGCTTCTACAAATCTACAACGATGCAAAAATTACTAGATATTAAGAGCACTCTGCTGAAATCATAATCTGTGCGTCGAAAGAAAAAAAACATTTTCCTCATGCCACAAAAGGACAGGTTAATATTCGCATAAGCATTCTGTAAAACTGTGCAAATTGAGTACACAAATATAATAAGACAAGTCCTTTCCACATGAATTAGAATGCTGCTCTTGTTTTTGTTAACGCCAAAAGAATTTGTTGATGCATCGAAATGTTATTTTGACTTTTAATGTTGACACAGTGCCTTAATCTTAACTATGAACCATATGATCTGCATCATATACTAATCTCTGTCATGTGTTTATAGACTGCGCAAAAATATATTATTGCAGATTTTAACATGAAAGAAGTTGCTGCAGTTCATTGTAGATTTTTGCTTGTTTTTTAGCTTGGGGCTGGGGGGAACACGGAACAACTGAAGTTTATTGCGGGGCAGAGCCAGGCCCTGTTCTCCGCTGTTGTGTAGCTTCACTATCAAGACGCCGGTTTTAGTAGTCACTTCTCTGTGTCCGCGCACTTGGCTCAGCTCTTTGTTTAAAGTGTGAGGTTTCGTGTTCCGAGAAGTGGAGTTAAAGCAACACTTGTAGGTCTCAGAGGTACTTGTGTTGTTCTAGGCGCTTCTTTCAGCAGCATATAGGGAACAGCAAGACGGGGCCGTTCGCGAGGCCAGCCACAGGAATTCCTGGAAATCTTCTGTGGCGGGGGGGGACGCTGCTTTTCATTAATGGAGATTCGGAGTGAAATCTTCATTGTTGTTTCTAGAAAACAAAGGCCCCAGAAAGGAAAGTGCAAGTGCTCGCTCGCTCGCCCTGCGCGGCTGGAGGACATCCAGGCAGTGTTCGGCCCTGTGTTTATCGTGGTCTGACTAGTTGGGGGCGTACAAAGGAAAGCAGTTCACAATCAGAAATTCGGATCTTAAAATGTATTCTTTTCCTCACGTGTCAATGTTGAAACTAGCCACACAGGTTTCCATTGTCACCCCGTGGCTTTGTTGCTTTGTGCAACACCGATTAGCTTCCCCCTGTACACTTCCTAGCAGGTGAATTGGGAAAACTGTAGAAGCTGCTTTGTCATCTTTATCATAACAAAGGAGAATTAACCCAGTGTCAGCAACTGACCTGTAATAATGATTGAGTATTTACTAATAATATTCAGATTCCCATATTTATCCATTTTGAGCATTAGAGTGAGTTAAATTTGGTCATTTATAAGTGTTATGCATTTCTAAAGTGTTGCCTGCGATCTCTAAACTGAAGCATTGCCACTGCTTTTAATGTATCAGTGTGTTTGCAATATCATGGAAAACAGAAACAGCAGTGTCAAAAATCTTGGGAATATCTTCTGGCAAAACGTTCTGTGTGTATTTCCTTCGCTTTCCTTGAATACAGTTTTTTTTTTGTTTCCAATCAAAGTAGGTTCTCTTAGAAGAAGGAAAAACGAGCTTCTGTGAGCTTGACATTTCTCAGTGTTGTTTTTCCATAGTGTTTTAGTGCGACTAGTAGATATTGGAGGCAGTTTATTGGTGTTTCCATTTAACACTGGCATTCTTGAAGGATCCTTGGAGGGGTCTTTCCTTCCCCTCTTTTTCTTCTTGTCCCTCACTGGGTCAAAAAATGCCTTGTACTGTACCTGCAGAGCCAAAAGGAACAGTGGCAATACTGAACTTATTGAACCTGCCTCAGTGTTACGCTGAGGCAGCTTGGTGATGTTGGGGACTAAATAATAGGTACCGCCTTCAGCCTTTGAATAAATGAAGGCCTGACCATTAGCTACACTCTAAAAAAAAGGAGCAATTATCACAAAACCTTCACAGGATTGAGGGAGTTTATATCCCTCCTTCTGAAACAGACGAGTATCCTTTAAAACGATTAGAACCAAGGATAGTACTCCGTTATCATGACTGTTTGCGTGCCTTGGCTTATACACAAGACCTTTCTAAATTGAAGCACACAGCAGGTCTGGACATGATGTTGTTGTTAATAGCGTTTGGCTGCAGTCCATCTGTTGCAGCCGTTCCCACTCAATCTTACTACTGCTTACAGGCTTTTGGTCAGTGTTCGGAGATACAGAGTGAACAAGATTCAGGGCCCCTTTGTCCTGTAATTTGAGAGTTTCTATCTGAATTTGTATCTCACATCTATCTGCCACGTACCAGTGTAGCTTTGTCTATTCAGCAGTCTAAATTGCATTTTGAGTTTGCATAAATAAAATATATGTAGTGTCTTAAGTAACACTGAACACTCTCTCAGAACATGGCTGTGGGCATGACAAAATCAGCTTTGTCAGAGTTTGCAAACTATTTTAAAAGCAAAATATTTGATTATGAGTATATTTTCAGCTCATTTTCTTGTATGCTGTGTTTATTGTGAGTGAATCATACATATTGAACTAGAATTCTAAAAAAGTCCCCTTTTACAACTTTATTTAATGTGGCTATGTGGGAAATTCAGGATTTAGATTTGATTTCATTGAGCATATCATATATGGTTTTGAGTTTATTTTTTATGGACTTCATATGAAGCCCTTTCAGAAGGTTTACCAGCTGGAGTGCAGGGGTGCATCTCAAGAAGGGTAGGTACCAGGTGGTGATTAGGGCATTAAACAACACTGACTATAACATAGGGACCTCCTGTCAAGTGACTAGGCTCTCAGAGTGACGGTGTTCTTGATATTCACGTTGGCCCAACTTGTTATTTGATGGTGGTTACTGAAGTTCGTTTTTTTATATTTTAAGGCTCAGCAGCAGACATTCCAGTTCCCTGATATCTTCCCTGAGAAGGACAAGACGGCTGAGCCGGGTTCTGTGGAGGATTTTCAGGACAAGTTTATGGAGGACGAGAAGCAGAGACAGAAGGCAGACCCCAGGCGAGGGGGGGTGACAGAGTGGTTTGGCCTTTAAGGATGGGTAACCCCTTTTCTGCAGTACAAGAAAATCAAGTCAGACTGTGACTGGAGTCTTACGTGCGCCAGGAGGACATTTCTAATTGTTAAACTCAACAGCTCTATTCTGATGTCTAGGCCCCTACGACATGAAACAACTGCCTGTTAATTTACCTTCACAAACCTCTGATTCACCTCAGCTGCCCCACAGCGGAACTGGACTCTGTTTTGTCACCCGCAGTCAGCATATCAACAGCTCCATCTTTGCAGCAGACAGCCCCTGAGTGTTTATAAAGCCACTCCCTTTTTATTTGTGTACATGTGTGAGAAACATAAGCTGAGGTCAGGCTACAGATGATCTAAGGTCATCTTTTTTATTTTCCACTGAGCTCTGTTTAGGTAATTAGACACCTTCTCGCACAATAAGGTCAGCAATTAAAAAGTTCAATGGAAATGTTGAGCACTGAATGCCATTATACAGTAGTACCATTTTTACCTCTACAGAGGACGGCCTGTGCCTTCTGACTGTGAAAGCCCATTATGTTTATGAAATCGGTAATAAGGCCATCTCAGGTTCCTTTTTTGTTCACTCCAGCCCTCTCAGGTACAACACTAAGAGATATTTGTTGTGCGGCAGTGGTTCTTCAGCTGTATGAGCCCTGAATTCTTCCTGTTTGGTGGTTGTGCAGCTGTGCAGTTGTTGGGGTCTGAAATGGAAGCACTGACAGTTTAAGGGGGTATTATGTACTGTGGCCTGATACACAGTTCACATGAGTTATGAAACCAAGCTGGGGTAGTGACGGTGAACAGAATGTTAGTGCAAAACTTTAAAAATTATAGAATTAAATCTACTTGTGACCTTGGTCTATCTGTAGTAATCGCAGATTTCAAATTGCAAAAGGTGAAAGTACAGGTTTTTCTTTGCTCAGGAGAGAAATTATATGTAATTTAATCAATTTTAATCAAAGGGACCTATTACACATGAGAATAATATGCTGTAGGGTCAGTGAAATTATTTTAATAGAACCCATTATATAATTTAATTTGAAATATAAATTCATTTGTATTCATAGATGGTCCTTTCCTAGTAAATTTAAACATCTATGCACTAGATTAAACTTCTAACAGGTGCTTAGAAGATAGCTACCATTAGAAATAACAAAGAGAGAAACTTGTACACAACTAGTTATGCAAACATCAGTGTACTGACGTTCTGGTCTGTATCATACCAAAACATTATTTTACTACCAAGAGCATAACTGCAAAAGAGCAGCACATGAAAGACCTTATTTTTCCTCATTTAATGCAATACCAATACGTTCATTACAACCATACCATATCTTGTCATTTAGGCTTTTTTTTTGTACTGCCATGTTCTACTCCTTAACCAGTTTCTCTACATACATACGTGACGTAAAGGAGACCAATTAAACCAAAACTAGAAAGTGAATGAGAAACTACATTAATGCTATCTAGTGACCTCTGTGAGTCACTTAAAGCAAATTCCTTCAGTATTCCTCTTAGTGTTGATGATGCTTGGTATTTCTGTAAAGGTCTCACAATCATGGCTGTGTCAGTGTGATTAATTTTATAATAATCTTGATACAGATAAAAATTGGTTGTTTTGATAACTGCTTAAAAAGATTTTTAAGTAAACACATTTTACCAGACATTATTTTTATTTGTTCCCTTCTGGTTCCTGTCTGGTATTTTGTTGCTTTTGTAGTTGAGTGTATAATAAAGATTGTAATCTCTCGTGCTGTGACCTCAGTTCAAAGTATCATTGTGGAATCATTTCATATTTTGGAATGTTTTGAGAATGTGTATGTTTTCACTTGTGCAGTCCATAAACTGCCCTTGTTTGAGATTGTGAAACAGCTTTGTGAAATATTTGTCGTGTTAACTCCTCATTACAGAGTACTCATTGCTCATTTTCTGCTTCATTGTTTAGACTTGGATGTGCAGATTTTTCTCAGCTGAAAGTGTCAGAAGAGTAATACACAGAAATTAGTTTGGGGAGAAAAAAAAACAACATTTGTAAAACATTTCTTTCAAAGTTACAAGTCACACCAATAAAATCCAGAGTGTTGTTATCCTGTGCATTTGTGTATATAATGTCGTAACTTTAATATCATTCACACTTTACAAAGTTCATTTCTTGACTATAGAAAGTGCTGTAAGTCTATTTGGAAAATACAGCAATCATATATCTTCATATGAATATGCACTTCTGAAATGGTCAGTTTTGAATTGGCATTCTTCTAAGTTATGAAATGAGCTGATACCCATCACAGTTATTGATACTTAACTCATGTCAATACCATCTTCAGTGCAGCCAAAGATCTGTAGTCATCACTATGAAGTCAATCTGTGGTCTACTAGCCTTTAAACACGTGACTGGTGGGGTGCAGGCGGGCTGATTGAGCATTGCGTTGGGTCAAGATCTGTAGATGGTGAACCCCAGAGCACATGTCCTGACATGTCTTTCCTCCTGGACCTCAGGGATGTCAAATTTAGTCTCTGGAAGCATCCAAGATTTTGGGATATCCCAGCAGCACAGGGTAAACTTGGCAGCTGTAATGGAAGGTTACTAATAGTACACAAAGCCATATGAGAAGAACCTGGACTCCTCGTCATTAGTAATAAATGGTTTCTAACCTGGCCTCAATCCTCCATCTTGTACTTGTGCCAAGTGTAGTGGATTGTGGACAGCTGTTTGTTTTTTTTTATAACAGTACGTTGCTTTTCCAACTGAGATGCTGGGTTTCTCTGGAAGTCAGTAGGGATAAGGTAATCTTAAAAGATCCAAAAAACAATTTCCTTTTGAAAGGCTAAATAATTTGAAATATATGTAGTTTGAGTGTGCTGGCGGTTCTGTTCAATTATGTTGAATGTTTTCATTATGATGGACACTTACTGTAAATCTTGTTGCTTAACACTCTTAACACGTAGCATAATTGAACTGGGAACATTGCGGGTTTCTGTTTTTTGTTCAGGGGTACGCTGGATCATAAGGGCTGGAGTGCGAAAAGCTTTATTACCTTTTGAGAAAAAAGAAGCCAAAATTAAACATTCTTGTGTTCAAGCTGACTTCAAAACTAATGATGGTTTAAGTCCTTGTCATCTGGCAACTCAACTGGTTTTTGGTTTTACAGAGCAGTACAGAAGTAAGCAAATATTGATATCACTGTTCACTGTTCCTTGCCAGGAACTCTGGACCCCTGGATTGCTATAAACCCATTTGATTTAAAATGTAAACCTGTCTTATAAGAAAGCCTGGAGAAAGAAAGGAAACCAAGCTAAATTGTTCCTCACGGACCCCCCATGAAAGTTGGGAAATCTTGGGCAGTGTTTGCCAAGCAACAAACCTCCCCCAATACCAATAAAAAACCTTTAAGCACAATGTGTTCAGTCTTCTTTGGCTAAACAGCTGGCAAAGATTTCCTTGTTTGTTAACAGAATGTTCTCCCACCCTATCAGAGACTATGCCGACCTTTTCAACTGGAATGCTAAGGTGGCTTAGATCCTGTCCAAAATGTCAGCCCTTCAGAGGTGCATGTTTACCCTGAAGCCAGATAGATGGCACAAGCTAAAGTTCTTTTATAGACAAAGTCCACAGGACAGGATCAAGACACCATGAAAGCTGCACTCATGGCATAGATATATGGCATCTATAAAGAATGGGCCATGCTGGCCTCTGGGCACAGGACTGAGGAGGACGAGATGGTTAAAATAAGACTGACATGCCTGCTACTCCTACTTTGAGATGTACAAGTGATGTTTTAGTGGAAGAAGACTGAATATTTTAACAAACCCTTCTATCCTTTGTTCCATTTCAAAGCTTCTTTTGTGTGTTTAGTATTTTTAAGAAGCCCTTTACCATCCAGCCTGTCAGTGATGAGTTTAGACCCTTCTGTGGCGCATGAGAGGAGAGACAGTGATTAAAGGTGTACCAGTTAAATGGCCAGGGATGCAGCAGAGAGTGAAGTGAAACTGCACTGGGAAATGGTTGTTTACTTAGTGTATACTTCGTTGTGTGTTTCTGGCCGAAAACTGTATAATATTTTAAAATGTATAAAATAAACTTAAAGTGTTTCTTTTCGTTGTTTTCTAGCATGGAATAAGCCTTTACTTGTTCCTTTGCAGCCTGTTCATGCTGAGCCAGCTACCCACCTACTGCCTACTGTACCAACGAAAAGTTGGCGGCCTTATTTTTGCTTTAGAGAATTTTTTTGTTTGTTTTATTTTATTTTTTTATTCAAAAATGTTCAAAATACCAATTTATCAAAGTGTTGCAATGCTAAACGCGATTGCGGGTTTATGTTCGGGGCTTGTGGCCAGACAAGCGTGGCAATAGCCGATGAATCAGGCCAGTGGTGAGCTCCAGGACCAGATAAAAGCAAGAAGCTAGAGGAGGCAGCAAACTGAGTTGCAGAGTTCTGTCATCATGATTGCGGGAGGCTAATTTGAAATGCTTTCTCAATTTGTAAGGCACCTGTGCACAGCACTGGCCGAGCACCACGATTCAGGGATTGCTGGTTTGAGTCCAGTGTCACCAGCCGATGGTGAGGGGATTCCCCAGTGGCGCCGACATGGCCAAGTTCCTCCAGGAGTGGGTGCAACAGCTGCCCCTGCGGTTTACCAGGCGCCTGGAGGCTTGTAGTGCTGTCAGCGAAAGCTGAATTTGTACACAGGTTCTCTGGCTAGCACTCCTTGGCACTGTGATCTCTTTACATAACTTTGGCATCCGTATAAAAAAAAACTACAAAAACAAATAACGCTCAACATAAAATAAACACAAATCGAAAACAAACAATAGTCCTAGACATGCAACAATACATAGACTACACACACATCTTGTTTTGCCCATGTTACACTATCATTATAGAGTCAATAACTTCACGGATTGCACGGGGAACAAATCATTTCTTATATACTGTACATCTTTCTTGGTCATAGGCATTCCAAAATGCCTCCCAGTTGACAATGGGATTGAAGATGGTGGGAGGGGTCATCAATGATAAATTGAGCTTTCCTTTCAGCTGCAATATTATATAGCTCTTTTAGCTGTTTCTGTGATAAACCAATTATATTATCAGCAATATTAAGAATTCTGCCCAATTTGCCCTTACTCTTTAATACTAAGGTTACCATCCCACACTACTATCCCAAAAGTAAAGATGCTTTCTACCAATCTTCTATAAACCCTCATTTTGACCTGAAACCTTTTCGACTTCCTGATTATATATGTTGACCAGCCTATTTCAAAATGCAATTGGTATTCTCTGCGAAGTTTACTTTTGTTGCCTTTAAATTCAGAAAAGCATGATGGTTGGTTGAAAGTTAAATAGGAGCACTTGCTTTTTGGGTGTTGCCACAGCTAAAAACTCACATTGGTTCCAATCAGGTGACAAGGGTGGCCAAGCCAGTTCTTAGGAAACCTGCTTGAAAGACTTCAAGTGTCAGAAATTATGTGAAGAAAAGTGCTCTTCAATTTTTTTAATTCTAAAACTTTCTAATACAGTAATGATTATAATAATTATATATACAATTATTCCAAATAGCAGCTGGTGCAATTGCCAACATTAAAAATACATTTTTCTATCCATTTTCTATAAACAATAGCTTCATGCAACATGTATTAACTTAATTTATACGCCATGGAGTCTTGCATTTTCATAATTGCCAGAAGAATTATCTCTCCACCTGTTAAATATAAAGAGGATCTTGGTGAAACAGACTATATCTGCTCAAATTGATCTGACTTTATCTGCACTTATTATTAATGTGAGCTTGAACTCCTCTTCTCGTGTTTATGCTTTGAGATGTTTCTTGAATTGTATTGAACGGGTCAAAGTAAACTGCCAACCTGAATTTCTCTTATTTTAGGACGCACTGCTCTCCTGTCTATCCTGGTGCACTTTATTATTCTGTACCACACTGAAACTAAACAGCTCCTGACTGCTCAGCAGCATGTCCAACATACAGTACATGAGGAGGAGAAGAAGGCCTTGGCACCAACAGCTGCAAGGAAGCTCTCAGCTGCTGTTGCCTTGCCTATCATAACACCGCCTGTCTCAAAGATGGCCACAGCAATAGGAAGAGGGTGAATATACTATAAATAGCTGTGAATTCATCAAGAAGTTCAGGCGCTTAAAGTTGGAAGTGTTCTAGATTCACAAAGACAGCTCGTCATCCTTATGTAAACTGTAACCTTTAAAGTCCACAGCCCATACTGTCGCTCCCAGATTCCCCATCAAGTCAAGGACTTCAGCCAATCCCGGGAGAGCCTGCCCATGCTGTGAAAGATTCTTGACAGAACTAGGGGGTGTTGTTCTTTGAGCACCGCCTTACAAAAATAAAATACTTCGACTCTTGCAAAGACAAAATATCCCCTCTTGTCTGTTCCACCCTACATTCCCCTGCAGCAACCTCCCCACTCCGTGTACACGCTGGGAGTAACAGTTATACGGGAGAGTCAGCAGGCTTGTCCCAGGGAGAGATGGGGGAAGCACTCCTTCAGCTGGCCATGTGCATCTGTTGCTGTGCCTGGGAGCTGACAGCAGCTCCGACACACAGCCTACACCACTGTGGGAGGCTATGATGTGTCCCTCAGATATTTGAGCACTTTCACTGGACTTTCCTGGGGTGCCATTTTTTTTAGTGCTGGTGCCAGTGTTTGCCAGCTGTTCAGAACAAATGCTAGAGAGCTGTTTTGGGGGGGAAAAAATAGGTCAGTGGCAAGAACCCAGAACTTTGTATGCAGTCTCTGACTTCTTTTGCGAGGTCTTCAGACAGAAACACCAGCTTGTTGTTTGCTTTGTGTAAGCTTGTGCCCCACAAATGCATCTATTCCCCCATGACATGAAGGAATTCCCCTTGACACTCTATTATTGTTTATCTACAATCAAACAACCATTTCTGTTGTTTACTCCTGCTGGGTGGTCTTTTGTTTCAAGCATCCTTCCAAGAAACAAATTTGCATTTCAAGCTGGCTAATAATAATAAAAAAGAGGGGGAAAACATGAGAGACAGGAATTGTTTTCATGTGCGGACAAAAGCCTAATTTCTAAATGAGTCTGATTGTCATAACACAAATT